TTTTTTACTTTAAACGACCATATGGACGCTACACAAGACGACGAATAAAAGAAACTATTTCAAAGAATGCACGCCAATTGTATTTCTTATTTTAGAAGAACTCTGCTTCTTTAAATCGCATACATTTACGATTTAGATGTTATAGACAGTTAAATAAAAAAATATTCTTTGATTTAAATAGACTTACCTCAACGTTTAATGCGGTACGCTGTTTAAAGTATAGCACTCGCAATCTCACACATTTAGACTTAAATATGATCTTATAAAAGCGCAAAACTTGAAATTTTCACCAGCTATCACTTCTTCGATTTTCTTCACACAAGGATATGAAATAACGGGATGCAAGAAACATCGATTTCGCTATCTGACGGAAATGAAATCCGATACCTATTTCATTTGATGCCGCCAATTTCTATCGTATTGGCTTTAGCTTTGTTTCTTAACAAATAATTATCACAAATTATCACTAATTTCTGCTGTAAAGCGATTCTTAGCCCAAAAAACTAGCAGAAACCACGATGTAGAGAAGAAAGGTGGCACCCATCTCGGTACCGCTATTCCACTCTCAGAGAATTTGACAGAAGCGCTGTTTGTATGACGTCAAACTTGTGCACTTTGTTTACGTTTTGCTTGCAATAATAATTGCGTTTTTTACTAATTTCCAGTAAAATCCAGTAAAAGTTTTAACGAATTTTCATGTTTTGGCGTTTCGTACACTGCAGTTAATTATCAGGAAGAAGAAGAATATGAAACAATTACGCTAGCAAAGAGCGAAATAACGAAAAAGTAAAGAAACGCAAACTAGCAAATAAACAAGTGATCGGTGCATTTGATAATTTTTGTTTATTCATTTTGACAGCTGCTAGTAAAAATTTTACTAGCAAAAAGTTGCAGGAGAGCCAAACCATAATAGTGTAAGAACAAGAGAGGCTGATAGTTTCTGCCAGTTTTTTCTGTTAAGGGCCGCTTTCCAGCAGAAACTAGTGACAATTTTTGATAGTTATCTGTTACCAGCCGTCTTCACGTGCTCGAAAATTCCACTTGCGTGACGACACATATACTTATCTGAATGCAAAAATCAAATAAATTTATACTTACATCTTTCTGACGGTTCTACGGTTACGGGCCGGTTACTCAATGTCTGGTTAACACTAATCTGCGGTTAAACATCGTTATCGACGTGTTCGGCTCCATGCTTATAACATGGAGTCG